CTCTTTTTTTTCAGCTTGAGTTAAGCGTTATAATGCTAAATAAACCTCGTCAAAATCCAAATAAGGATAAGAATATGTCCAATATATTACAATCATTTTTTTTTACTTTAAATCAGTATATTATTTTTAAGTCAGTAATATTCATTCAACTTTTATTCATTTCAAATGATGGTATAATAGCTTTGGACACTGTGAATCAGGATCTTTGCAGTGAACTAGTTGACAACATCCCTCGTCACAAATCAAATTAAACTTTTGCTTATTGAGACCGCGTAAAGAATACCAAGTATTTACAAAATATATCACAAAATATATCACTACATGAGAAAATTGTTTTCTACTGTATTATTTTTATTGAGTTAAAAAAATTGCACACTTCTGACAACAATGACGTATATATAAACCATATAACACATCATGTCTAAATTCTTTATTTGCGCCGAGACTTTAGATAACAAATTGCCGAGTCTGTTTATACCAACATGCTTTATGTGCGTGAGGCATTTAACTTCGTAATGAAATAACTTAAATGTTTCAAATGCAAATTGAAAGACTAGAGTTGAGAACAAAAACGTTAAAGAAAATATTTATTGTCTACAACATTGACTAAATACGCATTTAAAATATTTTAAGGAGAAGCTAATTGATCGTGCGATACTACATTTTAGCTGTGAATACGATAAAATCTCGTTACACTAAACATTTAAGATGTAGTGTTTGTATTAAAGTCATACAGGTCATTTTAAAGCTTATATTTCACGTTAAGTTATATGAAACAAAAGAAAAATAACAAAGAAAAAACTACTTGTTACAAAAGGATATAAAACCCATCTTTTTTTTTCAAAAGAGATACCTGACTATGTTTTGATTTTCTAAAACAAATCACTTTGATATATTTAAAATAGTGTACACGTTAGACTTCGTGCTATTTCTCTTACATTCAATATAATCACTGATGTACTTGATGTTATTTTTAGATAAAGACTTTAGTAGTACATCCCATAAATCCATAGTTATAGCACATAGCTATATTTGATATATAAGTCTCTGTCGATCATCTCTGGCAAAAAAAAACCGGCACTCGGCGTACACTCATAATAAGCCGAGGTACGCCCCTGGAATATATCGATATTTTGTAAACTTCACATGCATTTTTTTTTCGTTTTGAGACTTACTAGCAAGAATTGATTTGAAATTGTTTTACTACATCTGGTTTTTAGGATACCTTTTAAGTAGTATTTTTTATACAAATTTTATTTTTTATTTCATTACATTATCTTTAATTAATAAAAAAGACAGCGCGTTCATAATACAAATTAAAATACTACACTACACAGATATAACACCCACGCACACAAACACACACACACACGCACGCACGCACGCACGCACGCACGCACACACACACACACACACACACACAAACAAATTATCAAACAGCAATATGATCTGTCTTTATTCATTTCATCTTTCATTATTCTATCTTGGATGAAAACAAAATAAACCAACCTCCCCAGGACAAAATAAGATGAAGATAACATAAATAAGTTGTCTCGAGCCAAACAAGTGACTTTTCTATATAAAATATATATATCAAATGCTGATAAAGGACTTCAAAATTTTTACAAATACGTGTATACCTGTCAAAAAAGAAATATGGTCTACATCTTAAAATGTGTGCATGCAGATATAATGCCACATTCAAATCTTGATAAATCCTATAAATCAACATTTCAGCAGGTTCGTACCAATTCCTTACTTTATCTAATCCGCCAGTGATAAAACAAAATTATTAAAATCCCCTTGACAATTTATGGAAATCTCCTTGACCTACTTAGATAGCGGGACGTCTCTTACCAATCGTTCCCAAAAAGCGGACACACATTGGTTGTTATTGGTTTTTTTGTGATTTTTTTTTATCGAAAAGCGGACGCAATTCATGTATTTATTCAGTTTATACATTAACTTAAATTGTATCTGAAGTCAAAAGGCTACCGTAAAAGTATTAGATACTTATAAAAAATACAGTTAAAAATGACCGACGTAGGAGCAAATGTAGCAATTACAAGCAATTATGCAAAAAGTGAGTTTGATAGATGGACTTTTACATCTTGACCAATTTTAGTATCCATCCATATCAAAATGCATATCACTGTCTTTCCTTTTCGACCAAAGAGAAGATCTTAATTTGAAAGGTTCTGTCAATTTCCCGTCCATTTAAATAAGCACAACGCGCGACCGCTAGAATAAGTCAGTCGGACGCTTTTAATAAGTCGATCCTTAGTCCATTCTTGATCAAATGTTAAAAAAGGTAAAGTTATCATATGTAAATGTTAGAACATATTAATCAAGACTTGTTTCTAACATTTTTGCAAAATGTTTAACTTTGGAATATAAAGCATATTTTCACACAATGAGTTGAGATATATTCAACATTAATTACTTAAATTTAATATCGTTAATAAACCCAAATCAAAGAGCCTTTCGGGTTTGTAGACATTGTGCTAAAATCCTTCAGATTTAGTCTGTGTTTATTTCAAATTTAAACTTTTGTTAAAAATGAGAAAAATAGAAACAGAGAGGTGTCTGAAGAGCATAAAGATAAACAAAAATTGCAGGTACAGTTTAACTATTCATGAAGAATAAAAAATAAACGGTACAAAATATATCACGGTCCGTGCAAAGGCTTAAGCAGTTAAGTATGAGTCTCTCGGACTATAAAATATTTTACGACTGTAAGAAAAAACAGAGTAAGGAAAGTTACCAAATTTGTCATTAAGAAATGAATTCATATACTTTAATGATTACATATAATGTGGACAAATATTTGCAGTACATACTGATGTTTGAAAATTATTTTAGGGGCATAATTATATACATTTATATAATTTCACTTAAGTGTGGTAACAACCTTAATTACAATATACAAGATCTTTAAGTTACGATAGATTTATTACGCTAATTTAATATATGAAATGTATTTTTACTTTTGGTTCATGGAGAACAATTTAATGAAATTTTCTTACAGAAAAGAAATAACAATTGGTTTATTTAACTTTTAAATAAAAAACGTGACCTCCAATTGAAGTATCATGTAGAACTTTAAAAGCTGGTGGTCATGTAGGGGATATTTATTTTACCTCACTTAAACTTAGGCAGATTTATACAATATATTATTCCAAAACTCCCCAGGAGCGTTAAAATATGTTCTTGCTATACACTTGAGACACCTGCTTTCCAAAAAAATCAATAACATTTTTTTACAACATTTTATGGTTGTCAGATCAAATCTAATACTTTAATATTCTAAGACTTTGAGCTGTTTCCTTATCGGTGTGTTTAAACACACCGATAAGAAAACAGCTCAAATTGAGCGGCGTATGATTAAGGTATTACCCACCTATAATGCATTACCTCCACTTTGAAGAGTATTCAAATAGGCTAGAATTAATGTCAACTGCATTGAAACTAATGGTCGCGGGTTCAAGTCCCAGAAAAAACAACTTTTTAGCTTCTTTTTTTCTTTGAGCATTATTTATGTGTCTCTTTGATTACACTTAGTAAGAAAAAATTGTTTCAAATTAATTATTTAAATTATTATTGGTATTTATTGGCTAAATTGTGCCAAAACTATTATGAAATATGGTACCTGATATTTCCCAAGTCTAATAATATAAAAACTAGACTGTAAAAGTATTTCATATTTAACAAGGTTAACCAATATACTTTTAAGAAAAATTAGGCAAATTTTGTAAACAGCCCCTTATTCTGGTGAAAATAAGGGAAAGTTTGAATAAGGAAAATGGTCAAACAATAATTTAAAATGGGTGGGATAGGGCAACATTTTTATATATATTTCAAACATTTTGAGTAAAAACAATTATTTTGCTTGTGTCATTTGTTAGCTGAATGTTATTATTTGTTTCTTTACAATGTTCAATAAGAAAACATTTTTTATAATGATTATATAATATAATGTTTAGAGTTTCTCAATTCTGAAAAAAGAGTCATTTTAATAGCCAAGTTTTAGTTAAGAAAAAATTCTCTATAACTCGTAAACCAAACAGTAAACTTTGTATAAATTTTGCATCCAGGTGTACATAAAGGTATATAACTGACTTATGTTGTTAATTTTATAGTTCCTTATAGTGTCCATTAGGGGGCTCATACTTTAAGCCGTTGTGTGTCTTATCAGCATTAATACTTATTAAATTTTCATGTAAGCGCCTTGTTTTTTCAGATAAACGCGAGCCTCATTAAGCATAATACACGCAAACGCACACACACGCGCGCGCGCGCACACATACACACACACACACACACACACACAAATCCAAACGTTTTGAACGAGTTAAGAGAGAAATGGCAATTTAAAATAAGAAAAGAAAAAATATAAAAGTAGCTGAACCAGGGTTCGAACCTACGAGTATACGTCTATATTCTTGGTGTGATAGCCCTTAACAACTGTACTGTGCTAAGAGGGATTTATAATTTAGACCACTAAACAACTGGTTATGTACATTCATATCGATTTACAAGTGATAGTAACGTTTACGGAATTTACCGACTATGGGGTCAAATGCAAGAGTGCCAGGTCAATGTTGTTGGACAATATATGTCACCATTATTTAAAAAAATGTTAGAAAAGGTTGTGAAAACAATCCCAGTTATATAAGCAGTAGCTTTAAAATTTTGAAATGGCCCAATTTAAGTCATCTCTAGTTAGATTGGTCATAATTAAAGTGTATTTATTGCATGTGTGTAGTTTTTGTGTGTTATATGATGACTTTAAAAGTTGTTTTTTGTGTATTCTCCAGGAACTCATTTGTTGGTGGAAGGATTAAAGATGTACTACCCACCAGCTGTCAGGAGTTTTTAAAGTGGTGAATTTAAACAGTGTTACAACAGAATGAAGATTTCTGAAAAAAGTAGATGGCTAACCTATTATATTTTGGGCCTCATTGGACTTAGATAGTGTTAATGTTTAAAGTTGAAGACAGTATATGATTCATCAAGAACAGTGGAATCCAGAATTAAGCCTCAAATTTGACTGATTTACTATAGAACAAATAGTACGAAAATTCACCGGGCCGAGGCCAAGATCAGAAATGAGAAAAATGGGAACTGATTGATGGATATGGATGAAACTTTGCATCAGTGTTGTGTTTATGAATAGAAGTCAGGAAAATTAAGGATAACTGACAGGTTTGAAGATTTTAAATTTTATTTCAAATTTTAAATTTTGACATTTTAAATTGGGACATATGTTGTTATTGTTATCTCCCCTTCAAATGTAGATGTCTGCTACTGTGTCAGTAAGCAGGGAGAAGGGTACAGAGCTTTTGCATGAAAGATTAACACATTCTATTGACTTAAAACTGTAAATATAAATTTAAAATTAAAATAAATGAAATTTAAATTTTGTAAAAAGCAGTTTATAAATTGATAAATTTTGTTTTTGCACCCTGTGTTTAGCAATATACTATAAAACTAGCTTATTTTTGTAAGAGTTATATAGAAAATGATCATTTTTAGAGAAATGCATCTTAAATTATGGACAAATTATGCATTGCAAGGAATTGGGGAGTGTGTGGTTTCAGATTGGTTACATTGGTAAAAAAAAGTGATTGGCAAGCTCATTCCAGAGATCTCTAAGGGGCCCAAGAAGCACCGGCCATGGGATTCGAAGAAGCACTATAGTAGCCTATTGCGCATATGGACCACACATTAAATGTTTTGATGTTTCAGCAAAGGATTGATGCTGTAGTAATCAGTATGTAAATATTCACTATTGTCTTGTATTTCAATGAAGCAGAACTGACAATTGAACAGGACAAATGTGATTTATATTTTGGAAATATAGGCATTTTCAGTTTAGTGAAACTTGATGTTTTGCTGTGTTGCAGAATGTATTTGCTATTAATATATACACATAAAAGATTTTCTGGTCATTGAACAGTGTACTTTCTGGATAATTGGCTCATTTAGAATAACACAGTTGATATGATTCTTGTTGTTGTTGTAGCTGCTACAGCAGTTGAATTAGGTTAGGTTTATAATGTCTAAACTGCTATTTTCATGCAGGCATGCATTTTTTCAGCACACAATATTTATATAAGCTCTCCTGTGTGAAATAGCAAATCTAGCCAATGATTAATTAAGACATTATTTTCTTTCTTTTTCAGATATCAGAATTACAGCATAAATGCCTCTTATAATTTGCTTAGGCATGTACTAGTGTTGCATATTTTTTCAGACTGTGCAGTTACCAAAGCCTGGGTTTGAGTACAGGACCTTACCTTATCCTGGTAAAGATCTATGGAAGGACTCCTTCAGCTCAGTTTGGCAGCAGCTTTGTCGGGACACATTGAGAAGGTAATAACTTATGTCTAGTTTGAAACTTCAGCTATTGACGGTAGCGACTCCCAATGCTCGGGCAATATTTGGTAGTTATTTTGATGTATATCAGGAGAAAATGTCTCTAATTCTGTCTATATTAAGACTTCTCAATGATTTAAAGTGGGAGACTGTATGTGTAATCTTTTTTAAGCCTTATTTGTGTGAGAGTTGGCTAATCTTACTTTGTCAGAAGACATAGCCCATGGTGATATGGTAACCTCTTTGCTAACCTTAAGATTACCTCTGTTTGTGTTTATTGATATCTTAAGCAAACAATGTAGGGTGTGTATGTTGGTTCTTTACTTTATTTACCATGGTATATAGGTAAAAATCATAATCAGTAAGTTTTATTACAATATTGAAGGAAAAGGTTATGAAAAAAACACATTTAATTGTGATTACTTGTTTTTTAACCCAAAATTTCATGCTCTTATTTAAAGAAATGGAGTTTCTATTACAATTTTTAAGCAATAAGGTCTTATTTTTTCATAAAAATAACTGTATGACATTAGCCGGTAACATTAAACTTTATTCGAAGAAAATCCATTGACAGAATCAAAAGATATGACAGAATTTGTAATATAAATTTTTGCGTAAAATTCTATTGGCCGAGCCTAACTTTTCGCATGAAGGTTCATATTTTAGAAATTGTACTGCATTAATGTAATTTGTTAGAGACATGTCAAACCTATATGATTGTACTTGTATAACACTAAATTACTAGGAAATGAGTATAAAGTTTGGCTTATATTAAATTTTGGATTAATTTAGGTCTCAACCCGGTACGGAATTAGACCGAACCCATTGTAGTCTAGAAAGTAGTTCTTTAAAATTTTGAAATGGCCCAATTTAAGTCATCTCTAGTTAGATTGGTCATAATTAAAGTGTATTTATTGCATGTGTGTAGTTTTTGTGTGTTATATGATGACTTTAAAAGTTGTTTTTTGTGTATTCTCCAGGAACTCATTTGTTGGTGGAAGGATTAAAGATGTACTACCCACCAGCTGTCAGGAGTTTTTAAAGTGGTGAATTTAAACAGTGTTACAACAGAATGAAGATTTCTGAAAAAAGTAGATGGCTAACCTATTATATTTTGGGCCTCATTGGACTTAGATAGTGTTAATGTTTAAAGTTGAAGACAGTATATAATTCATCAAGAACAGTGGAATCCAGAATTAAGCCTCAAATTTGACTGATTTACTATAGAACAAATAGTACGAAAATTCACCGGGCCGAGGCCTAATTGATGAACATAACACAATAAGATACAAGATCTAGATACAAGAAACTTTATTTTAAGTCGGTTTACATATTACAAGAAACATAAGCTAATAAGCTATTTACCGACAATAACAAAGGCATAAAACATATTTACTAACATATAACAGATCTGAAAGTAAAAGCATATAAAACAAGTAGCAGTTTTAAGCATGAAATAAAAGTATCAAGGTTAAGAAGAACTTTACAATAAAATGGTAAATTAAGGCATAGTTTGATGACATGCACAGTACATATTGTATTAAAGGTAATAACAGTTTATAAAAGTAATAAATGACTGTAGTCTAGAAATTTTAGAATGGTACATGTAGCAATGTGAAATAAATAAATAATAATAAAATATAAAATTAATAAAATAGTAATACCATATAAGTGTTTTTTTGCGGGCTCCAAATTCTGCGTTTTTTTTCCAAATTTTTGCATGTTTTTATTTCTGCGGACTTTATTTCTGCGGCACACTCTTTGGACAAAACGTGATTTAAATACTGCGACTTGTCTTATCAAAGTATTAGTCACATTACACCACCTATTACATTTGCATGTACACGTTCGGATTTGTTTATCGTCGTCACAGCAAAACTGTATAGTAATTATAAACAATTATATTGTTTGCTCGAAAACAAATATAATGCGCAGGTAGACATCTTATATCAGCGTGAAGTGACGTGTGAAAAATATACCCCTGAAGTATCTTTAATCTGATCAAATTAATAGTTTACCGTAAATCAGATTTCAATTAGGAGTATACAACGATTATTAGCAGTATAAGGGGTTGGAATGGTTTTAAATATCTGTATTCTTAAATTAGCATTATTAACAATAAGTACATTCTTACAAACACATATTACATACTAAGCCGACAGCAATTTTATACAACTTGAAAACCCGCTTAACGTTATAATATGTTAGTCGTTATTACTTTTGCCGAAACAGGTGACAATGTAGGATACATATTGTAGCAGGTTGGAGAAATATTCTGCGGTTTTTGTATTTTCTGATCGCAAGATCAGATAAATACATAGCTAACATCCACGGTCTAACACAAAATTTCCTAACAGTCCTAACAACGCAAAGTAGTTCTCACTCAAAACTGCTTAAAAACCAGCATTTTAAAAGAAAGAACAATTTTTTATTACAAGTGTCCAACAAATTACTACAAAATCAATCTTTAAAAGTAGCGTTGGCTTATAGAATTGTCAATAAATGCACACTCACAAATTACGCGGATGAATATGATTTTAATCAATGAAAATGCTATTTTTAGCGATGTCGATTACCGAATACTACACAAATAAATCTGACTGCCGAGTAGCTGAATATATAGTTTCTACATGTTGGACTGTTTGGGCGAGAAGATTTTTGCTAAATTATTTACTTCAATTTTAAACAACAGGTTTACCCTGAACAAAATACCTCGAAATTACCCTAACCCGAAATGCAATGGAAATTCTAAATTTAGAATGACTTGATTTTATTCAGCCTCTGTTTTTGTAACTTTTCCGTGGTGTAGGGGTAACGCGCTCGTTTAATGTGTGAGAGGTCTGGAGTTCAAATCCCAGTCGAGTCAACATTTTTTTAAATTCTTTTTTTAGTGTCTTTGTTAAGGAAATGGCCACGATATGCAAGGATAAAGTGTGACTATCATAAAAAATGAACATAAATGATTTTTTAGCAACGGATATACATGTATACAATCATTTATAATCCATATGTGTAATGCATGATCAACACCACACTTGTGTAATTGTCCCTTATTATGTTAGCGAAGACCCCCTCTAAAGGTATCTGTTCACACTTTCTAACAATATGACACTGGTTACATTACCATGTTGATCATGTTGAGCATAATTGTTTATTATACAATAATTGTAATAAAAAAATACAGATTTTATGAATATTGTTTTCTTTTCCTTTTTTGTGTTTTATGTGCTATTTTAATACTGAGTTTTAAGTTTACTACTATTTTAAGAATTCAATTGTCATATTGACCGACGATGTTAAGTAAAAACTTAACTGGAAAAAGTCAGTAAATTATGGTTAAACTTTTAATATATAATATTGTTTATTCTTAAAACATATACATGTACATTTGTATTTTTCTTTATCATTTTTTTAAATTATCAATCAATTGAATAATTTATAAAATCTAATTTATAACTTTGAATAATTCCTCGGCATCTTTACTAAACACGAATAACAAATTAAATAAAATGTTTTAAAATTTATAGTGTCATATCAATACCATAAAATGTACCTTTTTCCCAATTATTGTACATATTTATTGTTTTTATCTCATATAGATAAAATAAAACATGTTATTGTTGTTGTTTTTTTTTTCGAATTGTATGTTTATGTATAATAATAATCAATAAATTTGAGAGTTGATCTGTGTTTATTTATTATTGTAACCAAACTAAGTGACAAACATTCATTTTGAAAAAAAAAATTATATAACTGTAAATATTTGCTCTGTTCTGTAACGATATCAAACATCTAATCCAAAACCGGGAGAGACCGGACAATAAACGAAATTCCGGTCAAAATAGACCAGGAGAGACCGGGAATTACCGATAGGAATACATCCCTCTATAAATAGATTTTCGAATATATAGGTCACCAACTCATCATTCTATTCAGCTTTCGGATACATGAACCATAATAACCTACTGTGTACTACAAAATGATAAATAAAAATACCCCGAAGAGCGCGATTTATTGACGGAAAAGGTTATTTCATTCTAAAATGTTGCATTGCGAAATTCTCCAGTTCGCTATTCATTGTATATATCGCGACCTTTCATTTTTAATTAATAACAAGTAAAATGGTTTCCTGCGGGGAACGTTTTTAATTATATAAATATATTTCATTTAACTATTTTCAATGGGGGGGGGCAAGGATAAATAAACGTTTGTATCAGGAATATAGTTGACAGTAATCGATTAATATAGAAGAAGGTCTTTGGAAACTGGTGACCGTTGATGACCGGAGAAGGTTGAACATAAAACAATTATTTCTTTTTTAAGAAAATAATTAAATAGGCCTACCATTTTATGAATAATTCTGAGCAAAAAAAAAAAAAAAATAAAGTAACCACACAAGTATTTATGATGGCAGATGCCACTACGAATATTTTAATTTTGTAGATTTTCAGTATAAACAATTTATTGTTTGTAACATTTTGAGATACATATTAAAGAAACATTGATAATTTTCAAACACATCATTCAAGTTTTTCCACCTTAAACGGTAACATAATTATAAAAAATTAAATATATCACGTAATAGTTTTTGGCTTGCAGCTAGCCACGGCTGCAAGCCTATTTATTTTGGAAAAGTTGTTCCGGTTAGGTGGTTTTCTGCTTACATTTGTTAATGCATAATTGAACAGGAAACCAGCTGAAATCGTGCCAACCGCAACTTTTCGGCCATTTCCGTCACTCTTCGAAATTAATTATAATAGCCGAGGTTGTTCCGATTGGAATCGTGACAATTCGGGCGATTCCGTCATACTGCGAAATAAGACGAAGTAATATTACTGAAATCTAAGCTATTTTAGTTACTTTGGAAATCCCAGTTTGTTTTTCTATTTTTACTTGATTCCGTTTTAATTCTTTTTCAAGACGAAAAAGTTAGTTTCTTTTATAATTGGTTTTTGTCTTTATCAGTGTTATACAATAGAGAATGGTTATTGTAGAGTGTAGTATTATTCCGTCTCCAAAGGGTGGTCCTGCTTACCAAGATATCGTGACCGAATCACGCAGAATATTAGTGCATGGTCAAGTTATATTTAGAGCTACTGACATAGTTTAAACGTCTTGGTGAGGTTATCTAAAAATAGCCCATGTATATCATTAACCTTACCATGTGCTGATCTCCTGTCCATAGACATTTTAGGTGTAACATAGTTGATACATGCTTATTAATTGGTACCACGTAACGAAGTCTTTTAGTGCATTCACTTGTCTCTAATGCTGCTATAGAAATGAAATTAGCAACTGCCAAAACGAATGACTCTCTCTACGAAAAAAGTGGAAATGAAATGTCCTTCAGTACGATAGATTGATCTCCACGTGAGAGCCAATGTTAGTATTTTTACGATTGACTATTTTAATAGAGAATAGATTTCGAATCGTTTTTGACAAAAAAATATTCATTTTTACAAAAAAAGTTGCAACTGTTATCGTCAGCATGTTCCCGTTCAGTTATAAACAGTGGACTTCTGGTCCCTATTAGGTCCATGTATTTGCACGCATAACCACTGGTGCTCAAACAAATGGGCACAGGTGCTCGTCCAGTCTTGGGCTTACCTTACCTATCCCTTTAAAAGTGAAACTTTTTTTTCGAGAAAAAGCTATGTAGGCCTAAACCCTTTATGATATACACATACCGTAAGTCAAAAAAAAAATTGTGATAATAAATTGAAACGAAAAAAACCCCACAATTTTAAAGGGAAGGGATGATGACACAGCTGAGCAAGCCTTTCCTTTTAAAAGGAAACTTTATTTGTTCTTAATTAGGTGTCTTATTCCCTATAGGATTATCCGTAACGTACCGGCAAACGGTATTTATCCAGGTTTCCGAAAAGGTCAATTAACCAATCATGTACGGTTTACAGATCACATGATCCTCCATGTACCGAAAACAGGTCACGTGCTCCTCCATGCCTCAAAAGTTGAACGCGTACCAATACTCCAGACCGGTCTCAAGACCGCAGGGAATCAAGCACCCTCATACTGATCGGATAGATCGGCTTTTATTATGACCGACTAAAAGGCTCGAGAAGTTGCTGTCGCCCTTTCTCATTCCAAAAGAGGCGCCGCGCCGCGGACGCCAAAAATAAACTTAATTAATAATAAATATACAGGAAAACAAATACAGATATACAGTACGATTTAGATTGCAAAAATCAGAAAATACCACAGAGCTTGCAGCCCTTTGATTATTTGTTTGGGTCGTCAGACC